TGGTTGTGAGAGTGCACTTACATATCGTTATCTTCTTGTTTGTTGTTGTTGTTGTTATAGTGTTGTATGGATGGGTTTAAACAAAAATGTTGGATATTGTTAATGTTCACCAGTTGAAACGTTTATACAACGTTTATGCCATGCATCCAAGCTACTAAGATGATTGATTAACAAGCTGTTAGTGAGGATATTAGTGCGTTATTCACTTACTCAATTACCTACCTGCCCACCTACCTACCTACCTACCCACCTACCTACCTACCTACCCACCTACTTACCTACCTACCTACCTACCTGCCTACCCACCCACCTACCTACCTACCTACCCACCTACCTACCTGACTGCATACCTCATTAGTTACAGATCATTACCACTATTCATTTATTTCAACATCTTCTCTCTTTTATTTCAGTCCCGCTTCATGTTTTTAGTTTCATTTCATTATTATTGCCATGCTGAGTGGTTAATGTTTTAAGTTCTTTGTGTTTGTATGATGGAGTTTGATAAACTTCTATTTCAATGCAGTGGAAATGATTTTATAATTTTTATTCTATCATTCAGCTTTATGTAAAATTCAAGTGAACAAATTTTCATTAACTATGGTATGAAAGGGTCATTTCAATTTCGATGAAACATTAAGAAACATTTAAAAAGAGGAAGAATAAGCTTAAAAATTAAATGTTAGATATTTAAGTTTTCTTTTATTTGAGAGGAACAGTGGACTGTGGATGGATGTGCGTGTTAGTTTTCAATTCTATCTTCATTTGCATTTAAAATTTTTAAACAAACATATGTGGAAGACTCAACTTGAAATTACATTATGACAATAGGACGTGCAATATGATCATCAATATTTGTATTTTTTATGATTATATATAATGTTGGCTATAATTAATTTTCATGGATGTACTTTCACGTGTTCTTCTTGTCATTTAGTTGGTAGGAAATTTTTCAAATTGCTATCGAAGAAAACATAGATCAAAAATTTTTAAATTAAATTTTCATGTCTGCATATGAAACATCTGCTGGATGGTTCACGAAAAATGATGCATTTCAAAGTTGTTTCAGTTTAATTTGTCTTGGACTTTTTTTTATCTTAACTTTATGTTTTATTTTATTTATTTCATGGTGTTTGTCGTTTGTAAGCCGTTGTGTGATGTTTGTATGGTGTTTGTATGGTGTTTGTATGGTGTTTGTATGGTGTTTGTATGGTGTTTGTATTGTGTTTGTATAGTGTTTGTATACTGTTTGTATTGTGTTTTGTATGGTGTTTGTATGGTGTTTGTATGGTGTTTGTATACTGTTTGTATTGTGTTTTGTATGGTGTTTGTATGGTGTTTGTATACTGTTTGTATTGTGTTTGTCTGCTGTACTGTACGATGCATATGTATGTTTGTGTTAATTTGATTTGTGTGTTATTTACAAGTTAATTCGTTTATATTTTTGTGTCGTTGTACTATGTTAATGTTTGTTGTTTGTAAGCTGAGATGCTAGGAATGTCATGTTTTGCATGTTGCTGTGGCCAAACTCGAAGAATATTTTTCGTTCCGTGCCCCGCTAACACATACACATGGGCATATAAATTTATATTCTTTTAGATGTTCAGACATTTTGGCACAAAAAGTTTGTTCTGTAACTGAGTACTTGAGAGGTTTGGATCGGTGTTTTCTTTAGGGAAATTGTGCGTGTCTATGTTGTCAGTACTCCTTAATAAAATTCCAAATAATGTATAAAGTGTTGGTTGTGTTTTATTGTTTATTATTTGTTTGTTGTTTGCCTTAGTAAAGTGTGAATTGTGCTAATTTTGTTGTCACAACATAAATATGGATATAAAAACTTCCTACTGCTGATTACATGAAATTATTCAACTGCACTCCAATCATACACGTGCTCTATCTACTGTTCATTGTTTGTTTGTTCGTTTGTTCGTTCGTTCGTTCGTTCGTTCGTAGGTTTGTTTGCTTTGCATGCCACTTCTCAAGTATTCCTGTTTGCACAATCATTATAAAAATATTTACATACATGCCATGAACTCATGCTTGAAACTTGTCTACAAATTTTATCGAGTATAAATCATTCTGTGCTGTGTAAATACGATGCGTGCAAACATGGTAATAAAATACTAAAAAGTACATACAATCAATGTTTCAATGTTGTATTTTTGGGTTACTCAGAGCATGTTTCATACATGTATGTAAATTGTGTAGTCGATACGTTGATACATGCACATGCATGTTTTGACGTATGTATGTACTTGATACATTGACGTTTGTGTGGCTGCTTCAATTGAACTGCGCATTAAATTGTTGGGCTACAGATTGGATTGCCCGCAAATGGTCTTTCATAAAATTGCTTCCTGCTCTGATTATATTTGTAGTTGTTTTGGATTTGCCTGTTTTTCAAAAATGTTGTATGTGTTATTTCGTTTTGTTGTTGGTGTGTTGTTGTTGTTGGTGTGTTGTTGTTGTTGGTGTGTTGTGTACAAATTGTATTATATAATCGGTATGTTGAATGATTATTGCCATATTCAACTGTTCACAAACTAATGTTTAATGTTTTTAGTTCTGAAAACCAGTGTTGTTTACAAACGACATGTTTGTATTGTTTACTCATTTTGTTCCTTAAACAAATTGTATACTGGCGGTGTTTACGTATTCTGCTTCATATACAAATTGTATTTGATGCTGTTTACATCTTTTGTTTAGATTGCAAATTGCAGCGTACACAAATCCTCACCTACTTAATGCATGGAAGAATGCTGGGGTCTGCTTAAAGTTGAAACATCAATAAACCCATAAAAAATGAATAAACAAAAAACATTCAGGTGCAAATTATACATATGTATATGCGTTGGTGGGTATGTATGTACGCGTGTGTTTGCTTGTGTGTGTATGTGTGTGTGTTACGTGTTTGTGTGTTCCTGTATAAGTATGTTTTTATGTGAATAACGATTACTCTCACTCCTAACTAAATATACGATATCTTGTTTGCATATAAAAAAATGTTTCTATGGAATTTTTAAACATCGGAATATGTAAGTTCGTGTTTATGTTCGCATATATGTGTTTGTTTATGTGTGTTTTATGTTTATTTTGGCTTAAATGTCATATCATCTTCGTTTATTATCAAACATTTTTTGTTGTTATAATATTTTCGAATTAATTAGTATTATTTTAATGGATGAATAAATTTTTCAATTATTAAAATATCACATTATATGTATTTGTAGTACTGGGTGTGTTGACGGCTGACTTCATGAGTGGGCTGGTGCATTGGGCTGCTGATTCATGGGGCTCTGTTGATCTTTGGATCTTTGGAAAAGTAATTGCATGTGTGTGCGTGTGCGTGCATCTTGTTGTGTGTGTGTGTGTATGTGTGTGTTTGTCTTATTATATATTGTTCCAGTTGTGTGAGAGCAGCGATGATATATGGTGGTGAAACTTGGGTGTTGAGGAGAGAGGAGGAAAGTGTACTGCAGAGGGCTGAAAGAGCTATGGTGAGGATGATGTGTGGGGTTAAAGTGAAGGATAGGAGGAGTAGTACAGAGCTGATGTCAATGATGGGACTGAATGAGGACATTGTGACATTGATAAGGAGATCGAGATTGCGGTGGTATGGACATGTGTTGAGAAGGGATGAAAGGGTCGGGATTAGGCGAGCGTTGGAGTTCGAGGTTGAAGGAGTGGTAGGAAGGGGTCGTCCGCGATTGGGATGGAGAGAGCAGGTGGAGAAGGACAGGGTGAAAGCGGGGTTGCGTGATACTGAGGCGAGTGACAGATGTGGATGGAGTCGAGGGGTATTTCGGTTTCATTATAGGTAGCCAAGCGGCAACCCCCGATCTCGGGGAAAATGCCGTCTAAACGTGTGTGTGTGTGTGTGGTTATTATATGTGCCTTGTTTTTTTTTTGTTGTTGTTGTGTGAGATCTCTTTTGTCGTGTTTTAGATTTTACAATCTACGTCCGGTTACATGTGCTGCTCGGCATGCTGTTGCATAATTGTATTAATGTTGCAATATTGTCGGTGTTCGGACATTTTTGTGTTGTTTTCTGTTGTTGTTTGCTGTTATTGTTTGTTGTTGTTGTTTGCTGTTGTTGTTTGTTGTTGTTGTTTGCTGTTGTTGTTTGTTGTTGTTGTTTGCTGTTGTTAGATGTGCGTTTTTTTCAGTTTCAATATTCAATTCGGTGTTTACCTTCTCGTATCATTTGCATTCCGGCTGAAATTGATCGCAGTCCCACACGTGCAAACACGAATTTATAATGAGTTTTGTTTCTCAATAACAAAATCAAAGTAACCTGATAATAACACTGTTGCTGCTGCCACTGCATCAAATTTTACTCTAGTACTGTTGTGTGAGTGGCGTTTCTTGTGTTATTTGTTATAAAAATGAAGTAGTCGTTGAGTTCCATCTGGCTAGCTCGATTGCCGTCATAATGAAGCCCACCATGACCCACCCACCCACCTGGCAGGCCTTCATCAGACCATTTCGAGAGCACCACATCGACCCGACGGCCATCACTCGGCACGACTTCATCGAAACGAACGGAGACAACTTTGCACTCACCATCCCTTCACTCCTCCTGTCCTCTTATCGATTCAGCACCTACGACGAGCAGCTCATTGAGCAGACGTACAACTGGGAGATGTTCATCTTCCTCCTCTCCCTATTCATCAGTTTCACTAATCAGGTTAGTTGGCGAGTTGGCTGGTCGGTCGGTAGGTTAGTTAGTGGTTTAAATTGGTGGCTGGTTAAGTTGTTGTTTGGCCGGTTAAAGAATGACTGAATGATTGGTCATTATGCAGAATGATGTTAAGACCCACAATTAGATCAATAAACTGATAACTACGCACTTCATCTCACCTCCCAGCAACTCCTCTCCATCTCCGTTCATTGATTTTCTCATATTGAACAAAATGCTTATGAATGCATGTGATGTAATGTACTGTGTAGCAACAAACAGCTTTCATTTCTGAGAGGCATGAGAAAAACAGCAGGACTCAATTGTTTCATGCTCCATGTGCAGTGCACCACACAACAATGCAAACTCTTCTCTTTACTACACAAACACACACACACACACACACACACACACACACACACACACACACACACAACACACACACACATACTAGAGAAGCGTTTTGTAAAATAATGCTAATAATAAGATGATCAACAAACTGACATAACCTTGTCACCTGAAACAACTTGAAACACGCATGTGTGCGTGTTTGTGGATGTGCGTGTGTGTGTGCGCGCGCGCGTGTGTGTGTGCGCGCGCGCGTGTGTGTTACACAACCAGCCACATGTTGCTTACCATATATAGTGTACAGCCTGTAGCATGCCAAGTGCTCATTATTATCATCATATTTCTTGGTTTGAAATAATTTGATCTGAAAGTGTTGAGAGATAAAAATTGAATGCAGCTAGATGCAACGTTGCACTTCATCACACAATCTCTATTACCACAGCAAATAAACTATTTATAAGTATTATCAGATGATGATGGTGGTGATGAAATATTATCATCAATCTCGTCGTCGTAACCATCTTTTTTAACACCCACTCATTCGTTATCAACATCAACATGCTTGTTGTCAGCAAAGTCATGTAGATGGTTAAAAGGAATTTGTACAACAATCATCACTACCACTACCACCATCATCACCATCATCATCTCGAAATATCAACATTGTTCATGATAATCATCACGTATCAGATCAACTTCACCCATCACCACAAATTCACTATGATTCGACATCACCAATACCATCATTACCATATTTACCATCGGTGTTACCACCATCTACTGTATCACACTGCACCACACCACCAATAACAACTGCACCACCACCACCAACAACCACACCACCACCAACACCAGATCCACAAATGGTCGCACACGTACTTCGGCCTCCCTTGGTACATAACAGCCCTGCAGAACATGCACATCATCCTCCCACGCAAGCATCATCGCATCCACCACATCTCTCCCCACGAATCTTACTTCTGCATCACCACGGGCTGGCTCAACTACCCACTCGAGTACATCAACTTTTGGCCACACCTGGAGAGCATCATCACGTGGTGCACCGGGGCACAGCCAAGATCTGATGACCTCGCCTGGGCCAAGAAGATCAACTGATCATTATCATTATTTGTGTTTTAGTTGGAGCTTTTTTTTGTTGTTGTTGTTGATGATGACGTGTGATGTGGCTGTTGTTGTGTTGTTGGTGGGTTGTTGGATGCTGACGATGAAATGTGCTGATACTGCTAGCTAGTTGGACAGGGTGTTGTGTTGTGTTGTGTCGTTGGTGTGTGTTGGTTGTGTGGATGTGGAGTTGATCCTGGACTATTCATGTGTTGTTTGTTGATCACTCTTCCGTGTTGCCAGATATCTTCATAATGACGTTGATAATAATAGTAACGGTAATAATACTATCGATTATTATTATTATTAATATTATTACTATTATTTTTACTGTTATTATAGTTTTAATGGTTGGGGTTTAAAAAAAATGCAAAAGGTTCATGATGATGATGATTATTTATGGATCTGGTTGTCATGACAACAAAACCAACAACAACAATGGTTACGCTATTGTTGTTGTTGCTGCTGATGAAGATGAAGATGATGATTTTTATTCAATTTATTTATTATTTATTTTTCCGGCTTAGTTTTTTTTTTATATTTTTGGTATTTTTATTTTTTCTTCATTTACTGATCGTCAAATAATTTGTTGTTTGCATTCAGAAATAATGAAAAAAATAGGGTGAATAGGAAGAACATCTGAATGTATATAATTGTAAATATATATATATATATATGTGTGTGTGTGTGTGTGTGTGTGTGTGTGTGTGTGTGTGGTGTGTTTGTATGTTTTGTGTGTTTGTATGTATATGTATTTATATGTTTATTTATTTACCACATTTATGTTTTATACATAAAAGTACACAAAATATATATATATTTGTATGTATGTATGTATGTATGTATGTATGTATGTTGTATATATTGTATATCTATACAACAGGCTGAATGAATGGTTTCATTTACCCAATTTTATTCGAAATAATTTGTTTACCAATATTGTTGTTTTTATGTTGCTGTCTTTGTTGTACTACAGATGAATGCTCTGCTTTTATCGCATTATCATTATTATTATTAAGATTATTGTGATTATTATTTTGATCATTTTATTATTATTATGATTATTTTTGTTATGACTATTATTAAAACGTCATCGCATTTTTTAATTTGATAGTTTAGAGGATGATGCCAAATATTCCACTACTGGTCGTTGCATAAATGATGAAAGTTGTATATGCGCGAGTTGGTTGCCTGGTTGCATCTACCCATCCCACTTGTTGCTACTTGTCGTTGAAAGCAAGTGCACTCGTCTCAGTTCGTGTGCAACTTCACGTTTCCATTGAAGCGTTCATAGGTGATCATGAACAATTTGAAAGCCATCTTGTAGTTTGTGGCACATACTCTCGCACATGCGTGTAGGTACAGCTAACGAAACAGCGTGCAAAGACTGCAAACACACATGAACATATGCATGCACAATTTGGTGTTTGTTGCTGGGTATTTTTTTTCGTATATGCTTCATATATAATTTACAGGAAGAACGTTCATGGGTGTACGTACTTGTGACTGCCATGTCTATATTCTGTTGAAAATTTTCTGCAAGTTAGTAGTTTAGCAGAGTTGTGGATGACCACATTTCATTCAGTTTTTGTTGCAGAATGAATGAAGCTTCATTTTTCTAGTAATGCAAGCAGCATGTAGATGATTTTCATGTAAGAATGTTACGACAATTATTAACTGTTATCATTATATGTGTGTTTATACACTAATCATACAGCTCATAGCTCTAGATGTATCTATCAAATTTTCAACTTTACTTGCCCTCAAAAAAAGATTTATGAACAAAAATGCAAGTGCTGTTTGAACGAACCAAGCATATATATACATATATATGAAAGCATAAATATATATGGGGTGAGGTTTTCATGCTTATATATATATATATATATATATATATATATATATATATATGAATAAATAAATGTATATATATATAAATATAAATATGCTGGTAAAACACCATCACTAATGCGGTAACATATGTAATCTACCGAATTTCTAGCGTTGGATAGTTTTTTTATTACATTTCTCAATATTTCTTACCAAATTACCATCGTACCACCACTGATACACTTCTACCTGGATGATAACTTCAATGACGGCTTCATTGCTGATAACGATGAGTTTTTCATCGTACCACCACTGATTGATAGGAAAGATGCAGCGTGCAAAGATGAAGGTTGTCCATTCGGATAGCCTATCCCCTATTCATCGAAAAAGAGAAAAAGAACGCCTATGTTACCAACCAACAGGCTGAGGTGCGGATAATTTTAACCGCTCCAATAGTCGAAATGCTGTTTTGCAAATTGTGCTCTGTAGTTATCTTGATTCTGTAATTTTGCTTCAATTTCTAGAATCAGATATGTTTGCAACGCGCGATTGTAAAGTTGCCGTATATAAGCACAGCAGGAGTTGTAAAAGGAGGTTGTAATTGTTGGGATGGGGAGTTGCGCTATTAGTTATTAGCGATCGTGCGACATCGAGCGTCGATTAGTGAATGATTCAGTGTTCAACTACCTTTGACATTCAAAGAAATGTTTAAACAAGTTCTTAATGGATTTTTCTTATCAATTAACAGGGCTCTAACTCTAGTCTCTACTGTATATAAATAATTTATATATATATATATATATATATATATATATATATATATATATATATATAAACACATACATATGATTATATGATGGGTTTAGACTATCATAAATACAATTATTTATATATGTAAATATATAAATAAATAAACACACACACACATATATATATATATAATGTATTATAGTATAATGAAGCTGCAATTTGTTAGGATTGTGCTTCAAACTAACTTAGCCACTCGTTTACAGAGATACGTTATTCTTCATTTTATGTTTCAGAGTGCAGAAAGTTAATTTTCGTCTTTGGAAAGTGCAATGCAGAAATCTTGCTTAATTCAACGACTTAGTGACGTTAACGTGTTTTTACTTATTTACTTATTTACCCATAATAAAATTAAATATAAAAATCTATAAATGAATGAAGAAATGATTGGATATATATACCTACGTACATGTATATAAACTTTGAATCATTAGTATAGTGGGGCGGTAGAATACTTTCAAGAATATGGTTTCAAACATTTTTTTGGTTCCTTTTTATTTTTAAGTGCTTCGATAGGTTTGGAATAGTTTTTATAAATCATCTTCAATAATCTATTGCCCACCTTATTACGGTGACGTCATTTTGAAATGAACTGCCCTGTCACTTGGTGTTCATCGCAATGATATTATGTTATATATTAATATATATATATGTTATATATTATATATATATATATTATATATATAGGCATACAATAAATACATATATAAATAAAATGAAATGATACAAATTATTGGTATAACATATAATAGCAACAAGAAAGAAAGGTAGTGGCGATGTTCAAATTTGTATTATATGTTTATCAATCTTTAGAAATACGTTTTGCGTTATTAATATTATTGTTCCATTGTTTTTTGCAGCTTCAGGATTTGTATTATTAATTTTACTTGAGAGGAACTTTTTTTTTTATTTCTTTCTCTTTAAATTAGACGCTCGCACTTTATTTATCACATGCAATGGGTTAAAGTTATTATCACTTGTTTCCGTAATCAGCACAGTCTTGGTTACTTGCTGCTATCAATCTCTGTCACAACCACAGATTTCATCGTAATTATTTTACATCATACTTATCCTATTGTTGTTATCACCCTTTTTTTGACATCATAATCGTCATCATTTTTTTCATCACCATTATCCTTATCACCATCATTATATTCATCACCATCATTTTTTTATCATCTTCTTCATCGTTATCTTATTAACAGAGGAAACACTTGTAGAAATTATCGTAAAAACTTTTCAAGCTGCTTCATAGTTAGTATTATTATGCTTAATTACCTTCTTATTCCAAATATCTGTATACAAAGAAAAATTATGCGTATTCATATATACACGTGTATAAGTATATACACGTGTATATATATATATATATATATATATATATATATATATATATATATATATATGATTATACAAAAGTTCTTGTAATTATTATTGATAATAATCAGTTGATATTATCTTTTCAAATGTGTTTTTACGCAAAGTCTGGTTCTCTTTACTTGTATCCGTATCTGCTTATTATGCTATCTGTTTGGGTCTATGATGATTGCTGTTTAAGAGGTATCGTTTGATTCTCAATTGTAAATATTTGTAAATTTTTTTATGATAAACAAGAATATTATTCCACCTTTGTGCGCTGAGTGTGTATGTGTAGGTAAAAATTTTCTACCCTCTTTGGTGTGTGTGACGTAAAGAGATGACATCATCTCAACATGTTCGTCACTGTTAACATGCTTTCCTGCTGCCATCTATTCGGCTAAATTAAATTTCTTTTAATTCTGCGTTTTAATACTATCATTCATTTATTTATTTACTAAGGCTTTTATGATTTTATTTTTATACGTCAGTATACATAAATAGCACATGTGCATGGTTTAGTTAATAAACATTTGAAAACATCCGTTGTTAGTTTTGTGGATATAACAAAGATTTCACTGAACATGGGCGGATCTGCACTGGATAATGTTTGAGTCATCACCATGATCCTGATGGACGAGTCTCTCCCCAATTACGATACTTTTTACTCATCCACCTTATTTCTCATTTTCCTTTTTTAAATCTGTCACGAAAATGTGGATCGTTTGAATTTTTTGATCTCCAAAGCACGACCCAAACATTTGACGCTGGTTTCAAATTTTGTTCAGTCCTCCTTACGAGTAGATTGGAATGTGTAAGCACAAACAAACATTACTCCTGATAAATAGCATTAAATTATTTTCTTAACCCCGAATCTGAGGAAATTTATTCCAACATTTCGAATCATTTTGACATTGTTTTTGTTGTAATTGTAATTTATGTTATAACTTTTCAGTGCTGTTGTTTTTTGTTGTTTCTAGTGTTTGGAATTTTTAGTAGCATTATAAAATTGTTTTGTAGATGAACGAGTAGTAGCAATTGTATAAAAGATATTCTAGAGCGAAAAGAGTAATGGTGTAATAAGAAAGAATAACAATAGCAGTAACAGTAGCCGTGATGGTAGTGGTAGTAGAAGTAGTAGAAGTAGCGGCAATTACGCAAAATATGAAATTAATTAATGAACTTCAGAAAATAATTATATTTTTTTTTCTAGTTATCAACGACACACAGAAAGTACCTCTTATTAGAAAATGCTGAAAAAGAATATTTATGCATCAATTATTTAAAGATTTTTTTTATGTATTTTTGCAGTTTTTGCTCGTTATAACTATTTATTTTGTGTGTGTGTGTTTGTCTGTTGCCTATGTGTTTGTGAGTCTGGGTACGTGTGTACGTGTATGTTTAAAATTTTATGGGCGTGTATTAAATTATACTATGCGTTTGCCTAGGTATGTGTTTTTTATATATAAATTTAATAAATGTGAAAATTTGAATTTACTGAATTCCAAAAGTTACCTCGTCTGTTGTTCTTTCTCTCGCCAACAATTTTAATGTTGAACCATTTTTAAAATGTATTAAAAAAATTGTTAGTTTCAATCAATTACAAGTTTGGTAAGAATATCAAACCAAATCATGAACCGAGCTCAAATAAAGGAGCTTTAAGGGTCTGTAGTAGGTTGCCAAATTAGCAATAAAAATTGTTTAAAGCGTGACCTTTAAGCTAGATAAGCATTAAACAACTTCAAGCGCTCATAAAAACGGTTGAAATGCAAAAGCTCAAACTTATTTCAGTTGTTATATTTTAAACAAATTTAAATAACTTATCTCCAGTGGTTGCACAGAATGTACACATCAACTTTTTTCTCTGACGTTATGAAATGTAAAAAAATGCAAATAAAATTTCTTCCTAACAGGTATTTGAAGACTGGTATTGAAGAGCACGCCGAACTAATGTCAGGATTGGGATTCACGGCTCATTGGCTCAGCTACTTCAGCAGTGCCGTCAATTCGATCATTTACAATTTCATGAGTGATGAGGCATGCTGTTTTAAATAATTTTAACAAATGTAACGTTTTTACTCATAATCCAACTCATGGCAATGTTGGAAATTACTAAGAAGTATCTTAACTCTAATTATATATATTGTACTATTAATTCAACAGTTTCAAAACCATTATTTTACACACAAATAGCGAGTAGTTTGGCACAATCTAACCACACCGAGCAGCAAAATTTAGAATAGAAATTTCGGAGACGTGCAAAATTTGTTGCAGTCGCACCTCGTGTCCGATCAGGGATGAACACAGTGAGGAATCAATCTTTCAACTCCTTGAGGTACAACACACAAGTTGACCAGTTAGTTCACTCTGTCCACATCCAGCACTGATGATAGTAAGAAGAAGTAGTGCCAACGATTTATCCTTCGGAATGCCGACCCATTGTAGTAGTTGTCTTTGGCATAATTTGTAACATACATACATGATAAACTACATATGAAACATGATACATGATACACTACATATGAAACATGATACACTACATATGAAACATGATACATGATACACTGCCTATGAAACATGATACATTATTGATGATCATGTTGACATTAATGTTACACTGTTTCGTGCTTCGTTCATTGATACGTGTCAACATCTTGCTTTATTTATTATTATGTAAGTAATATCTTGAAACTAAAATAGAATAAATTATCTGGGAAAGCGAAGAAATTAGAAAAACGACATATACATGCAAAAATTTATATTAAAAAATTGAACAAAATGTCAGTTATCTATGCAACTCAGCACGTGTCTGCGTTCCAAGGTTAAAGGTTAAAAGTCATTTACACTCTTCCAAAGTTCAGAGGATTCAACAAAGCGCATGAACATCGAATATGAATACATGCTAAACGACGCATCACACACGAAGCATGTGATAGGCGGGGATCTTTTTATCATATTCGAACCCGGTTACTGCGAAACAGCACCTGACGACCTTAACCATGAGACCATCACGCCGCCCTGGAACTATGAAAAAATTTAATATAAAAAATTGATTTTTTTATATAATTGGTTCTACTAACTATTCAATATTTTGGCAGGATATTTATTTCTTTGCACTATTTATTTGTTTGTGACAGCAAAACCTGGTTAAGTTACAAACATTACATAGTGTTGTTCCCGTTGGGGTCGTAGAACAATTTATAACACATCAAAGAAGAAACGTTTGGTTGGTAAATAGTTTGTAACTTAACATTGACGCCATATAAGCGATGGTCGAGGACGACGTTCAGTGGAGAGGGGTCTTTGTGAAATCGACACGTATTAATTTAAATAAAAATTATAATTATAATAATAATAATATTAATAATAATGGTAATAACCGAATCGTCTCAGCTGTGTGTTAAAGAAAACATAGACAAAGACAAGCGCACACGATACTGCTTGGCAGTATAATTATTGATCAAGTGCAGTTTAACAATAATGACCGAGCAAGGCTAAAAACAAAGTCGAGCCAAAACATGCTGGGCATATTCATAATAATATTATTCATAAAGTGAAACAAAGACAGGCGCTTATGAATGAAGTAAAGAAGGCGGAGGGTATATATACCTCGCCCGTTGCAAAAAAAAACCATTCTTGTTTCCCTTCCTGTTTCCCTGCTTGTTTGCCTTCTTGTTCGCATTTTTAATTTGATTTCTTGTTTGCCTTTCTTATGTTCCCGTTTTGATTATTAGCAATTTTTTTGTTCATCGAAAATTCCAGGTACCGAATTATTCAAATTTAAAAAGGAGTTCATCGACTTTTGCTGGTGAAATACGTTGTCATCTGAGGTACACAAACGTCCGAGGAGATTCATCATTTGTCCAACGGTAGATCCAACTTTAATTGATTAAATTGCAAATTTCAAATAATAACAATGATAATAATAGTAATTAAAACTCTTTTATTACAGGAAATCAATGGCATAAAAAATAAAATAAAATTGTCTTTGACATAAAATTAAATGCATAATAAAACCCTATTACTCATTATTTATGATAAGTATACTTAGGTGACATATTTAAACTGTTACACAATGTTTCTGTGGCAAAAGATGGCGTGTGTCGATTTAATTACTGACTCAATTAATTTGTCAATAAAAAAAATAGGGCATACAATTTCAATTAATTGTAAATTGAAAGTATTAAAGAAGCCAATTGGAGTAATTTCCAACGTATCTAAAATAATCGAACAGTTTTTGAAATCGGGGATCAAACTTGAATTTAAATTGATTCTCTACTTTGATTGTTTGAAGCTTCTGGATTGGATTAAATTTGTCTCGTGACATACCGTCAACTACACGATTTCAATTCTCCTGTTGTGTAGAATGGCGATGTCTTGACGAAGATTGACAAACAGTTGCGACATTGGCAGGACTCTTTCGATATCTGCGAATATCAGACAATAGCAGCGGCACGATAGCAAACAATTAACGATCTCTGACAATATCCTGTCATGGCGTTCAGTATAACGTTTCAATGTAGTTATGGTTCTACAGTTGGACACCCCATGCTTCTTTGTCTGTTTAGCGCCACAGAGAGGACACAGCAGGTCAACGGTCTTCCCCCATCTGAACAGTTGCTGAATCAGATATTTTATCGCAAATTTGTACAGGGTGTCTGGTATTGAATTTAATTCTTTGACCAGTGTTTTATTCGCGAAGGTAGTATTACCTCAGTTACCGACTTGATCAAGGAGCCTTGACTTTGAAACAAGACGACGTGGTTTATGCCGACAGCTATTTGGTCCTCTTCCAACTTTTTTAGTTTCTGAGATGTTGAGTTTGAGACCGAAAGCAAGGTGTCAATCATCCTGTAGTCCACCGATGTTTCACGCCATAGACCGCGAATCTAATTATTTGAACTTGTCCTGAAGTAATTGCATAGCTTTAATCTCATCCTCAACGCTGTGTCCCTTAGTGGAACAATGCTGTGACCACCACTCTTTAATGGTAGACTCAGCATCTCTGGCACACAGCCGCTTATGGGTATTGACAACCAATTTCTTGCTGCTTCCACAACAAGGTTATCCAAATTGTTGGCGATCCAAGTCAGCGAAAAACTGTAGCTCGAACTTCAATTTTGAGAAAATGAATTTTTTTAAGATTTGTAGTTTCATTTGCGTAGAAACATCAAGTTGGTCGTAGATCTCAAGAGACGTATTAATTTGGAAATCAACTCCTCTTTGGCTTTTGTGTCCTTTAGTTCTGAATCATAGACTTTCCCCAGATATTTGAATTCACGACAAATTTCTACTGTTGGAATGGGTATGTTGTCTATTGTCAACCTTGGTAGGAACTGATCGTATGAGCCATCTTTTTTCCTCATTCCAAGTGCACAGCACTTATCTATCCTCACCTGCATGCCTGACCATTTGTGCAATCAATCAATCAATCAATCAATCAATCAATCAATCAATCAATCAATCAATCAATCAATCAATCAGTCAGTCAGTCAGTCAGTCAGTCAGTCAGTCAGTCAGTCAGTCAGTCAGTCAGTCAGTCAGTCAGTCAGTCAGTCAGTCAGTCAGTCAGTCAGTCAGTCAGTCAGTCAGTCAGTCAGTCAGTCAGTCAGTCAGTCAGTCAGTCAGTCAGTCAGTCATTCAGTCAATCAATCAATCAATCAATCAATCAGTCAGTCAATCAATCAATCAATCAATCAATCAATCAATCAATCAATGTGCAATAACTGCCGTGTCGTCGGTGAATTGAAGCCAAAGATAACCGCACTGTTTAAATTTCTCATTTTCTAACATTTTCATGAGAAGATTAAACAGAAGCGGCGAGCATTGATCACCCTGAAACATCCCTTTTCTTACTGGTAGCAATGGTGTGAGCTGTCCGTCGATCGATACTGATATAGTATAGTTGAAATATATTTATGATATTAAATCGCTGAATAACTGCGGTACATGATGGTGGAGCAGAATTGAGTTGATGAGATGGTGACTCACTTTACCAAACGCGTTTCGGAGGACCAATAGCACAACGACTAATGTGCATTCATGTCTCTTTGCATCTTTCATCAAGTGAGTCAACATCTGGGTGTGTTCCGCCAGACAATCGATTGTTGGATAGAATCCATTTGACGTGTTTGTATTAATGCATTTGTTTTTGTGCAGAAAATCGTACAGTCTGTTTTTTAGTTAAGTTGAGAACATTTTGTACAGTACTGGCTGTAATGTTATGGGGCGAAAGTTAGCCGGATTTTTTGGAACTCTTTTTTTATAAATTAAGATTGTTAAGTTACTTCGCCAGTACGTTGGGATTGTTGCGGTTTTCCAACAGCTGGTTATTAATTTAAGAAGGTATGCGTGGAGTATTGGACACTTTTTCAGAGCAATTGTTAAAACTTGGTCCAGAGGACAGGGCGGTGCTTTAGCCTTACATTTTCGAACAATTGATGCAACCTCCCTGTAGGATGGCTGATCAATGTCTCCCGCATATGACGGTGTCGGTAGAGGCGGAATCCAATCGGGAATCCATCATCACGATATTAAGAAAAGTAATAATTATAATTACGATAAACATAACCCTAGGATTATTACATATTGACATTTTGATTATTAAATTGATTATTTTATTGATCGTTGTCGATAGAATTTATTATAAAATCTAATCTTTAGTATTATTTTGTTTTAATAAATAAAATCATAAAGAATTGACCCAACGCATGAAAGAAGACTTGCGAGCGTACGAAAAAGCCGGTTCGTATGCCCGGCAAGAAGGGCTAACATTTCTTTTGTCCGGCCCAAACATTCCGACCTTGAGGTCAGTAAAAAGTATTGTAAGAAGGCGAGTGTAAAGGTGTGCGGTATCGAGCGGCCGGTGGCGTGTGTGATCGCCACAGCGCAGATGACCGACCCTACCGTGTCCACGAACTTCGTCGGGGTGAGGTCAGCGGCGACGACGAGTGTGTCAACGAAAAAGTGGTAGGGAAAAACGCGCAACGACCCTCGCCCCGACGACAAAAACTCTACATTGTTAAAGAATAAATATAAATAAAGGAACATAGTTAAATAAGGCATAATATAATGAATTTATCTATGGAGATTTGAAATTAGTGAATGAACGTAGTAAAAAAGGAAACTGCTTAAAAGATATCCAAACCTGTTGATAATATCTGTCAAAATATACTGTATTGCATTGCAGCCGTTTAATCTGAATTCATAATTGTTGCGAAATTGTGACAGAGTTGAAAATGAAGAATGAAGATGACGCAGAAAGTAATGATGGTTCAACAGGAGAACAAATTGTATTAATTTCAAAGTCAGGAGGTGGTCATCAAGTTGACAGAAACATGCTTCTTCGGACCAGTGGTTATTTCCATGGTTTGGCGAACAGTGGAATGAGAGATGCCCATTATAGAGAGCTTACGTTGGAATGTTTAACAGATGAATCCTTAATAGAAGTAAAGGATTATTTATCAAAGTTGTCAACCAACGTGATGGAAAACGGAGGTCCTCACCTGAAGTCGTTGAATGAAGTGGAAGCAGGGTTGGATGGCGCCTTCTATCTATTAATCAATGATATGATTGATGGTTACATTGAATTGTTGCTGAAACATTTGAACGAGTCAACATGTATTCGTGTCTTGGACATTGCAAACAAGCACGTTTTAATTAACCAGGTGGTCAAAAAGTTATCAAATACATGTCGAAAAATTTTAAAGAAATTTCGGAAAGCTGCAAATCATTATTATCACCTGACGAAATGTTTTGCTTGGTTGCATCAGCGGAAATAAATATAGACAGCGAGATTGATATTTTCAATCTGATAATCAAGTGGATTTCGGAGGATCAGTCGAAAATTGCTGAAAAATTGTTGACCGAAGTGAGGTACAATCTGATGACAACCAATGAAAAACAAAAATATACTGCCATTCTTCATGATTTGAATTTAAATATTAGCTGTATTAAAGATAAAGATTCAAATATTTCTCGTACAGTTGGTATGCTCTTTGTGATTGGATCACTTCAAAAAAAAGATTTAAACTTAATTTCATTGTTACTTTCACCTATTTTCATTCGTTTTTTAATTTTTTTTATTTCAGCACCAGGCTAAAAGCTTTTTTAATATTCTGCCAGTTTATGATTTTGTTGAAGCTTGCACGATCAGTGGTGACGGCACTGAATCATCACCAATTAAATTTAAACCATCAAGAAGAAAGCAACCGCCATTTGATTCGTTTCGTTATGCTGCCTGTGTTGTTGACAACTGTTTGTATCTGGTCGGAGGAGAAACCCGTAATAATATGATCTCTCGTGAAAGTTTTGTGTACAATCCGGTTGATGCAGTCTGGTCTAAGGTTTACAATTTTTAAATTATATTTTATGAACTCATTTTTTCTAATTGAAACGTGTAATTGAATAGAATTATACTTTCTTATCAATAGCTGCTGTAGTGCATTCTATGGCAAATATATATATATATATATATGGATATGTTGGTAATAGACCATAATTTTTACAATATTCTATAAATTCTACCGAATGTTTGGCGTTAATATGTTTGTAGTTCGTTTTTACAAATCTAGAACTACCTTCCTTTCAACTTCTAATTCTCGAGAGAGATGGAGCAGTCGCTGCTCGCGATCTTGTTCGATTGTTAGTAGCAGTCGCTGTGCAGTCGCTAAAAACAAACTACAAACATCTACAAACATATTAACGCCAAACATTTGGTAGAATTTATAGAATATTGTATATATATATATATATATATATATAAATATAAATACATATGCTACATGTTCTCTCAGGGGTTTATGCTGAGATGGATGCTCAAAACATTTCCTTGTTGGTATTTTAGGACATGAGCTCGACTTTCGACTGTGTCAATCATGAAATGTTATTGCTCAGTGTGCATCTAAGTTTTGGAATATCTGGGGAGATAATAAATTGGCTCAGAAGCTACCTGATTGACCGAACACAGCAGGTTTTGTTCAACGGGAGTTTGTCCTACGTCAGTGTGGTTCTCTCTGGTATGCCGCGGTCGAACCTAGGCTTTATAATTAATTCAAACCTAACAATGAAATTTCATTTAAAAATGATCTCTATATCACGCCTGGCAGAGATTAGAAGAATGAAACAAATTCGAGAATTACTTGATAAAGACGAAATGCAGACTCTGGCGCATGCGTTGGTGCACTCACGTGTCGGTTATTGCCATGATTTGTTTTATGGACTCCCGGCCAGATCTTTTGAAATTCTGCCATTGATTCAAAACCGTACTGCCTGGATTGTGACCGGATGTTGATGGTATGATCATGCTACACCGATCCTGAATGGTTTGCATTGGTTGCTCATAAATAAAAAATTTTTTTAAAAATCTCTGTCACAGTTTTTAAATCACTAAACGGTCTGGCTCCAAAATATTTATCAGATAAACTGAAATTAAAAACGCCGACCACATCTGGTGTGCGTCTGAGGGCCTACGATTCGAACATTCTTGTTGTTCCACAATAGACACTAAGGGATTGTATACCTTAATTTTGTGGGGTCAGGCCTGTTGTATGGAACCGCTTTGCCACAGCCCTCAAAAATGCCTGAAATGAGCATTGCAGGATTTAAAAGACAGAAACACCTTTCTTTATATTTTTAAATTCTTTTCGTTCTTGCTATTTTAATATGAATATTGGTTATAATTTGATAGCGTTTGTGAAATCTGCTATAACGAACGCTATATTAAGTTTTTTCTTAATAATATATATATATATATATATATATATATATATATATATATATATATATATATATTTTCCAAAATTTTATTGACATCAAAGGCAATCAAGAAGTTATATTGTAAACTTGTGCTGATTACCTTAACTGAGGTGCAAGATGTTTAATAATTGTCGAATTAAGCAATAAATCAAAATGTTATATTTAACAGAATAAAATATCATAATCAATAGAAACAAAAACTGTCCATTAATAAAAGTTTGAGCAGAAATTAATTGTTATTCAAGTTCAGATGAAATGAAAAAACGAAAATAAATAAAATTCAGTAAGTCATACAATTCTCAAAATTCAGCCAATTAAACAACATCACTAAGTAAGCTTTCTTTAACATAATTTTTGAACAAATTTATTGACATAGTTTTAGCCTCAACACTGACAATAGCATTCCATAGCTTTATTCCTCGAACCGACCAATTTCTTTCATTTGTCCTAGTTCTACTTATAACAGAGCAAAGCATACCATTCTGTCTTGTTGATGATTTTGTATATTTAAAAGAGTTTAAAAACCTATAGTTTACATTGTTTATAACTTTATATAAAAAGACAAGGGTTATATATATATATATATATATATTGATTTGACGAATGTTTAATATCTTATATTTAGCAAATAGTTGTTTAGTATGATCAGACCTATTTAAAAATCGTGAATTATTGCTGTGGAAAAATTATACAAGTTTTGTTCTACATCAGGATAAGTAACAGATTCCATGCAACTATCACCTCTATTGCTTTCTAACAAACTGCGCGAGTTAATTCTACCTGTCTTGAAAATCAGGGATTGAGTAAATGAATATCAAAGGCAAACTATTGCATTCAGAAGGATGACTTTCTTAATACGTCGGTTAGGCTTATCTTAGGCCACCCACTCTAAAGCCTGATCTAATCGTTGCACAGTGATATTGAGATGTATTAAAACCTTGAAAACGTTTTCGCTGGCAACGCTGGCAATGCTTTTTTATAATTTATTGTGCACGGTGCTCAGCAGGGAACTCATCTTTTCTTCCTATCAACCAAGTCATCGTTGACGTCATCGGAACATGATCCAATCATCATCGATCATCAACATCATTGGATCTCTTGTCAGGTATTGATGATGATCGTCGGCATGTTACAATCGAAAATGACCACCAACATGTTCTCTACACAAACGCGTTATAGTTGCATGTTATGTTAAGCCAACAAATAAAATTTTTTGACAAAACATTTTTAAAATAAACTATTAGGCTTTTGGAAACTGTTTGCATTTTTATGGTTATTTAAATTATTTTTGAAAATGTGAAATATTCTAAGATGTTCACACTGTGTGCCGTCATGTCCGCCGGCCAAACGCGTCAACAGCCTGCACAATAACGTACAACTGCACAAGCACACACAACTGCACAAACACACACAACAGATTGTTGCGGTTGTACTTGATGTTTGAGAGAACACCGAACCAGGAAGAGCAGTGAGCGTAAGAAGAAAAGAATAGTACTCGTTTGGATAGGCCGCACACGTGTATCGTCCCTACCGGGGACTCATCAGCAGCCCGAATACCGATGTATAATTGTAATGGCGTCCAAGACGGTTGTTATTAATGAAATGCTGTATTTTTTAACAAATAATTTTGATATAATTGATAATGAAGCTTTCGTTTTCAATATTTCGGAATTTTATTCACAAGAGGAAGTTGGTAGTGGTTTAAAATGTTTAAAAAATGAATTGGAACTGTACAAAAATGAAATTACTATAAAATTGATTTCTCACGGAACAAATAAAAAGGACAAGGTGGCGGACTGCATCGACATTCTCAAGTGTCTTAAAACAAATAATTTATATGAAAAATGTCCGGTTTTTGTTAGCAAAGATTTGGAAAGAGTTCCTAAATTGGAAAATATAATTAAAATTAATTTTGAAAATCTACGGAATGAAATTAGTGTAATGTTAGCTAAACAGCAGGTGTGTTTGTTGGATACGTTTGAAAGTTGTAAAAAACAATTGACACAGGTGGATTCGTTCAACAAACAAATATTCCAGTTGAACGAAAAGTTGAATTCACTAAAGCTCAATTATGATAAAACGTTAATTTCTGCAGAAAATACTGAAGATAGTAACAGTTTGCCTCGAGCATTGAATGACGCTAATTCGAATAAATATACGAACAAAAATGTTACTCTAGGCAATGAAGTAATAAAAACGCCAACAAATACTGTAAAATTTTCATGGGCCGATAGAGCTAATAATGATGTGCAAAGTGATGATAACAAAAGTTACCTCGTCTGTTGTTCTTTCTCTCGCCAACAATTTTAATGTTGAACCATTTTTAAAATGTATTAAAAAAATTGTTAGTTTCAATCAATTACAAATTAAACAACACTTATAGTTTGGTAAGAATATCAAACCAAATCATGAACCGAGCTCAAATAAAGGAGCTTTAAGGGTCTGTAGTAGGTTGCCAAATTAGCAATAAAGATTGTTTAAAGCGTGACCTTTAAGCTAGATAAGCATTAAGCAACTTCAAGCGCTCATAAAAACGGTTGAAATGCAAAAGCTCAAACTTATTTCAGTTGTTATATTTTAAACAAATTTAAATAACTTATCTCCAGTGGTTGCATAGAAAGTACACATCAACTTTTTTCTCTGACGTTATGAAATGTAAAAAAATGCAAATAAAATTTCTTCCTAACAGGTATTTGAAGACTGGTATTGAAGAGCACGCCGAACTAATGTCAGGATTGGGATTCACAGCTCATTGGCTCAGCTACTTCAGCAGTGCCGTCAATTCGATCATTTACAATTTCATGAGTGATGAGGCATGCTGTTTTAAATAATTTTAACAAATGTAACGTTTTTACTCATAATCCAACTCATGGCAATGTTGGAAATTACTAAGAAGTATCTTAAAGAGCTAATAATGATGTGCAAAGTGATGATAACTTGAATGATGATAACTTTACGTTAGTTCAACGGAGTAAAAATAAAATAAAATCTAGAGCATTACCTTCAGTTAAGATTAAACCAGAAATTCCTTCAGCTGTCCAACGTCAACAACGTCAACAACAAACTAAAAAAGTAATTGGCAAAAAAACTAACTGTTCAACAACCTTAAGGTCGATGAAGACTGAACCACGTAACCGTCTAGTCTACGTCGGCAAGTTGGACCAGTGCACATCTGAAGATCTCATCAATCATTTGAAAGCAATTGATGTAAAAGCTATATCATGTATTCCTTTTACGAAATCAATTTTTAATAAAAAAAGTTCAACATACAATAACAATAACAATACTAACAACAACTCTTCTCAAACTAATGAAACCAAAACCAGCGCAGCATTCCGAATTATGTATCTCGAAACAGATTTTGATAAAGTGATGAATGAAGACAACTGGCCAGGTGGTGTCATTCTTCATGAATGGTGTTCCTTCGACATCAGGTTCATCAGTCAGTTTCAAACATTGCCGCTCCATCATCTAAAAATGCCTAACTCAAATTCTACTTCCTCGTTTGATCGTGAACTGCATTTAAATAACAATGACATCAGTGATAAAAATATATCTTTAAATTTTATTGATCCGGATTTAAATATCTTTAACAGTATCTTCAACCACTGTCTCCTCCATTTACCAGTTCATCAACTTTCCTTATTATTTCGCAATGATGCATATAAACAGCCGAAGTCTTTACAATCAAATGTCTGAACTTGATACCCTCCTTCAAGTGTGCCTCTTTAATCTGTGTCTCAGAAACTTGGCTTAGTACCACCAACGATAAATTAATTAATTTACCAGGTTATAACTTTTTATCAAAAAATCGTGTCTCCTCTACTGGTGGCGGTGTTGGTATATTTATATCAAACTTTTTAAAATATGTTGTTCGTGATGACCTTGTCTATTTTTCACGTACTTTTGAATTGTTAATTGTTGAATTGTTAAATATCGAATGTCATAATTACTTAATTTATGTTATTTATCGTCCCCCTAATACTGACCTAAACTTATTTCTAAATGATTTAACATGTTTACTTTTAAAAATTTCTAAATCAAGCAAATATGTCTATATCCTAGGAGACTTCAATATCAATGCAATTAGCAATAATGCCAGTAATGAATTTATTTATCTAATGAACTCCTTTAATTTGTATCCATTAATTAATATTCCTACTCGTGTGACTACCACTACTTCTTCCTTAATTGATTATATTTTTACTAACAATTTATCTCCCCACAAATCTGGGGTAATCTGTTCTTCTTTATCCGATCATTTTCCGATCTTTACTGCATCTAAAATTTCTACACCTCTAATATCTTCAAATACTTTTATTCCAACCTTTAATTTTTGCTCGAATTTGTAAATTAAATATATACCTTACAAGTTTTGACTGGAATCCGTTATATAATTGTTTTGATACCGATAAGCATTTTCATTTTTTACCAGTGTTTTAAAAAATGCTATTTTGCAATACTGCTACACATCATTACCTTTGAAACAAAAAAGAAAGCAACCTTGGTTTACCAATGGTTTAATTACTTCATCAAAGACTAAAAATATTTTATATAAAAACTTTTTAAAATCAAAATCATCTTTTGACCGTTTGAAATATATTAAATATAAGAATTTATTTTCAAAGTTGTGTAAGGTTTCGGAACACATGCATTATTATTATTTGTTTAATAAAGTTAAAAGCAATGATAAAAAAACTTGGAATTTATTGAAATTTTGTATGGGTGTTAAAAAAAAAACCGACATTTTTTGCTATTAAATTGAATGGTGAATTGATTACTGATGATCTGAGTTTGTGTATTTGTTTTAATGATAAATTTTCTTCGAATGTTTCTTCTACGTGTGATTATAATAATAATATTATTAATAATGATAATAATGGTGATAATAATAATAGTAATAATAATGTTGGTAGTAATGATAATAGTGGTGATAATAATAATCGGGGTAATAATAATGGTAATAATGGTAGTGATAATGATAGTAATAATAGCAGTAATAATGGTGGTATTAATAATGGCAATGGTAATACTCTCTCTAATTCTAATGTTAATCAATTGGTATCAAATGAAGAGTTACGTAACGTTTATAACTGGGTTCAGGCTAATAACTTAAGAATAAACATAGCTAAAACTAACTTTATTTTATTTGGACCTAAGATTCGAACAAGTGTTATTGATATTCAGGTTTCATTAAATAATGTTTGCATTAACAGGGTTGAATCTACAAAGATTTTAGGTATCCTTATCTCTAGCAATTTATCCTGGACTAGTCACATTCAATTCATTTCAAAAAAGGCTACAAAAAATTTAGGAATACTTTACCGACTGAGATCAAGGTTTCCAAGACATATTTTAATAACACTATATAATTCTATTTTTTTGCCATTTTTCACCTATTGTATTTCTATTTGGGGTTTTACAACAAAATCTAACGTTCGTATGTTGAATCTTTGTCAAAATTATTTTATTCGTATTTTGTTTGGGTTACCAAATTTGAGCATATCAGTCATTTGTTTATATCATCTGGAATTTTAAAAGTTTACCAGTTACACATTCTTTTCACGTTAATGTTTTTTTATAAATTATTTAAACTAAATTTTTGTCCTTCCTTGTGCCACCAATTAAATCATTTAATCAATAATCGATCAATATTTTTAAGACATAATATAGATTTTTATTTTCCTAAACCTCGTACTAACTTTTTTATTAATTCCGTCTTTCATGTCTCTTGTCGACTTTGGGACTTATTACCAATTCACGTAAAAAATTTGAATACTGCTGGTTTATTTAAAAATTCAGTTTATCAATTAATCACTTAACGAATCATTTTTCCTCTTTCATTACCGGTAAATTCCCCGTGTAACTATGTTATAAGGTTTTTGTCGATTAATTATTACTATTTTGTTTGGTTCTATTTTTTTCTTTCTTTTTATCACTTATTGTTTATCTTTGTTCGAATTTTATTCAAATTTCTTTTTCGGTGGCCCAACAAGTGCAAACTTCGTGTCTCCTAGTATTTAATGATACTTAATGATACCTTATTTATCTTAGTTATCGCAGTTTCTTATATAGTCCGCACAATTCACTTCGTTAACTCGTGGTGTTTTATTTATTATTTAAGATTGTTGGATTTTAGTCGTTAGGCTTTCAATCCGACAAGATTCACAAAACGCACGCACACACACACACACACACACAACACACACATTCACACAACGCACGCACACACGCACACACATTTGAAATATTTCACATGTAATCTAAATAGGAATAGCTTGTGGAGTCATGTGGATGCACCATTCAGACTGGTACCTCAACCATGTACCCTTATTAGCCGATCCAGAATTTCACGGCGGGAAGGATGATTTTTAAAATTCTAAAATTGATCATGTTTTATTTTACAAATCCATGTTTAATTTTTAAAATACTAAATAAAAACGTAAGATAATTTACTCAAAATAATCTTCAATATTTCTTTCTTTCCCGGTCTAGTGGGAGGTTGCATCTGCGCATCTCCATATGGGTCCGCCACTGGGTGCAGCTGCAGGGTTTCCTTGAATTGGCTTCAAGTGGCGGATCTAGATAGACAACTTTGACGGTGGGGACCAAGAAGAATATTAAAAAATTTTAACTATCAAAAGAGGGTATAGAAAATTTTCAAATGTCAACAAATTAGTCGATGACTATGGAGAAGGAGAAATTTCCAAAATTTTCCAATGTTCACCGGGGGAGAGTCAACATTTTGACCGGGAGGCCAACTTTTTTGATAATGTAGTCAAAATTTTAATTTACCATCTTTTTTTACGTCTGTAATGTCTATTTTTCACTCAAAAACACTACTTTTTTCATTAAAACAAGGTCTTTTACTAACTTTTAACAGAAATAACGCTCACAACAAATGGGGGAAACTGGCTCCTCCTTGGATTCGCCACTGAACGGTAGTTTAAGTACGATTTTGATATAACGTCATTTACGTACTGTTTATGCCGCTTAGATTGAAAACTATTCAAGACAGCCGAATAATAAATTAAAAATCGTTTTGGACAGATCATTTGCGTGCGAGTCAGTCACACACAAACGACACGCTCCTCACCAACCCATGAAAAGTCAGTCACGGAAATTATTGCTGGCTTGTACAGCTTTGCTTGAACACGCTCATATTCAGCCACTCAAACTTTCTTAAACGTTCGCGAAAAATCATATGTAAGCATTTGCAATCAACAATAATCAAAAACGTTCACAAAAGATCACAAACGATCACACATAACCGTGAACACGCCTTCACTTACATTCACTGATATTGATCTACTCAAATTCCTCAAACACATCTACACATATCTATTAGCATTTTTACACACACATACTCTTACATACACA